GGCAGAGAATGATATTTTAAGAAAACCCAGCCTAGGAAATGCTGGCCAACAAAATTAATACATGCCTGACTAACTTTATCCAAGTTTCCTGACCTTTTAATTTTGTTTGCATGTTTGGTTGGCTTTGGTGGAAGTCTGGCTGAGCAGTTTGCTTGAGCAGTTCAGTTAAGCAGGCCTTTAAAGGCACTTATGATGCCTGGGAGGAAGTTGGGCAGTGCCCACCTGACCAGTAGGTGCAGATCAACTACTGGTCAAGGCATATGATGGGGCATTGCTCTGGGGGAGATCAAGAGAGTAGCAGAACCCTGAGACTACACCAGACTCCATTCTGGCACTCAGTTGAGAAACAAAAGCAGAGGTGTCTTTTATTGAACTTCTGCTGAGCCCTGTTGGAGGACTGTATGGGTAATAGCACAGGCCACTGTAGTGCTGGCGTGAGCCAGGTCCCTCACTTGAGTTTATTCTCATGACGTACATGTGTAATACAGGTATAATTACTTCTTCCAGACAAGCCACTACCTGTGTGGATACTAGTGATGATGCCCAGGGGTAACGTAGGTGGCTTAGTGGTTTGTGACTCCAACCATCTAGATCAGGCCCCCATAAAGAAACTGTGATGGGTATGTGAAGAGTTCTCACTGGGGCCTGGAAGACCTGACAAGAGGTGACATTTAAGGAAGACTGTAGCATTTCTCCATACATATTCAATCTGTGTGCTAAACAAATAATTAAAAAATCTGGACTATATGAAGAAGAATGTGACATCAGGACTGGAAAAAGACTCATTAACAACCTGCATCATGCAGATGACACAATCTAGCTTGCAGATAGTGAAAACGACTTGAAGCACTTCCAGAAGAAGATCAAAGACTACAGCCTTCAATTTAGATTAAGAGCAACATCAAGGAAACAATAATCCTCATCTATTGACCAAAGGATAAATAGAGAAAAGGTTGAAATTATTTAGGCTTGCTTGGATCAACAATCAACACCCATGGTAACAGCAGTCAAGAAATCCATAGACATATTGTATTGGGTAAATATGTCAAGGATTTCACCAAGTGCTAAAAAAAGGAAAGATGCCAGTTTAAAGACTAAGATGAACCTGAACCATAGTCTTTTCGATTACTTCTATATGTCTGATAGTTGAACAGTGAAAAAAGATGTCAGAAGAAGGATTAATTGCCTTTGAATTGTGGTATTGGAGAAGAGTGCTAAATATTTCATGGAATACCAAAAGAACAAAGAAATCTTTCCTGGAGGAAGTTCAAGCAGGGTATACCTTAGAGGCAAGGATGGTGTAATTTTGTCTCACATATATTGGCCATGTTGTCAAGAGGGATCAATCCTTAGAAAAAAAGATAATCATACTGGAAATGATGGAGTGTCAGAGAAAGAGAGGAAGAACCTCAATAAGATGGATTGAAACAGTGATTGTAACAAAGTTGTTGTTAGGTACAGTCAAGTTAAGTACAACCCAGAGCAACCCTATGAACAAAAGATCTTACCCTGTCCTAGCCTGTGCTGTCCTCACACATCACACATTAGAACCCATTGGGGCAGCTACTGTGTCAATCCACATGGCTGAGAGGCGTCCTCTCCTTTGTTGACCCTCTGTTCTTTCACGTATCATGTCCCTCTCCAAGAAATAGTGCATCCGTATCAACATGACCAAAATATGGGAGGTGAGGCTTCATCATTTTTGCCACTTTCACCAAGACATATCTGTTTGTTCTTTTGGCAGTCTATAGGATGTTCTATAGTTTCCAACACCACAACTCAAAGGCATTGATACTTCTTCTGTCGTCCTTATTTATTGTCCAGCTCTCAGATGTGTATAGATGATCAGAAAAACAATGGTGTGAATCAGACTCACCTTAGTCCTCAAGCTGACGTCTTTGTTCCTCAATAATTTGGAGAGGTCTCTGACAGTAGATTTTCCCAGTGCAACATGTTTCTCATTTCTTGACTGCTGATACCAAGGGTATTGATTGTAGATCCATGTAAGATGAAGTTGTTGACAGTTTCAATCTTTTCTTCATCTATCATGATGTTGCCTATTGTTTCAATAGTAAGGATCTTTCTAGTATGTCAATATTTATGCATTACATTTCTTTTTTAACAAATGTCCAATTTTCCTACATTCATGCTTATCATATTCCACATTCCAATACTCCGCCTGAGTTACCATATCTATTAGTTTGCTTTAAGTGTGATCAGCAAGAGCTGTGAGCTTTGGCAGCTGTGACTCTATAATTATTTAAAGCTAGAAAGAGAAATGCAAAAACTAAACCCAATACCTGGTCTGTCCCTGGTCAGTAGCAGATATCCTGTTGGTGGAAGCTTCATGGACTCTCCACTTCTGTACACTTAGGGCTGCCTGACCAAGCCCTCTTCCCACCAGAGCCCTCAGGTTGGCCTTAAGGAAGTGTTACCGTGTGGTCAGTGGCCTATTTTCGGTCTCCCTTGCCTGCATAAAGAACTGAACCAGGTGGGAGACAATAGGAAGATGGGACGTGGATGAATCTCCTGGTCATAATCTGGTCTAAACGAAAAGGTTTGTCCTGCTCAAAATAAATTTCATCTGGGCTGATCCCTTCTTAGAACACGCAGCTGAGGAAAGGCAAGGAGACAGGAGTGAAGGGGAAAGGAAAGCCAGCTTTACTAAAAATGATATGTCCCAGAGAGAGACATGGGCCATTTCTCAGAAAGTAAAGTGAAGGGCGACCTGTGCTACGTGCATTGTGAATTAATAGAGCTGGCTCACTTCCACATTTGAGCTGGCTTCTGGACTTGAGTCTGGGAAGATGTTGCAGAGTTCACAAATTGGTGGGTAATCCATTTTATGGTCCATTGCTCTTGATGTTATCCATGCTCCTAAAACACTACAGATGCCAGGATTGAGCTACTTAAGTCCAAAGTCACTGGTTCCCTGATTTTGATTGGGTAGGGCTCGTGCTTAGATGCTTCATTTGATTTTTTTCCTTTTGTGGCCTCCTATCATGACTTTTCAGGACTTCCTTGTCTTACAGGACCACCTCTAACACTCTCTTCACCCAGCCTCCTCTTATTTTCCCTGACTTTCTCAATTCCCCACAAGATAAGATAGTGTTTGGATCGGTTGTTCATAGGGTAACTATGAGTCATACTCAACATGCATGGCACCTAACAACAACAAACTCAATTCGAACCCTAATAGGAGCTGCATCCCAAGGAGTTGGAGCTGGAGGCTTCAACCTGTTGACATTCAGTTTCTTATACAGGGAGACCCATTCTCATGGGAATGGTTCCCCTGAAAGTCAGTGGAGCCCTCTCCATTCAGAACCCAGCTTTTCCAGTCCTGAATGAGCCCCTAGGTTGTAAAGGAGGGGTGGATGAGCAGACATCTGAGCTAAGAACTCTGACTGGAGCACTGGCTTGTTTTGTGTAAACAAGAATGGAAATGAGGGTACATGTTTGTATTAAAAGGGTGCTTTGGTGGTGCAATAGTAAACACGTGGTTGCTAATCAAAAGTGTTATGGTTCAAATCCACCAGCTATTCTGCAGGAGAAAGATGATGCAGCAATTTGTGTCTGTAAAGATTCACGGCTTCAGGAAACCTGTGAGATAGTTCTAATTTGGCCTGTTGTATCTCCATGGGTTTGAATTGGCTGTGTGGCCAAGACTGGGTTTGGTTTGGTATTTGTAATCAGTCGACCTTGCCTGAGTGAGCTCTAAAGCCAGGAAGAGGGGTAATTGTTCACAGGGCAAGTGATGTTTGGATAGAGCCACACTCCTTGGGGTAAGAGGGAATTTTTTCAGGACTTGGACAAGTGTTACTAGTGCTTCAGAATTGCATCTATGCTTTTCAAAGCACACATAACTATGCCTATTTCTCATACTGTGCAGAAGGAAGCATCTTGGGTTGGTTTGGACAAGGGTAGGCTGAAGGGCTATGGCAGGCCTTGGGGCACCACTGTAGGGTGTGAAGAGGGACAGCAGTGGTTAGGTGGACAACCTCTGGCCGTGCTCCTCCAGGCCCTCTTTCTAGAATGTGGTCTATGAATCCAATTTTGCTGAGGCCCTCATTGCTGCTGGCCTTGGCTCTCCTCTGCATTTTCTGTTCCCATGTTTTATCACCCATGTGAACAGGGTCTAATCTTAAAAAATGATTGGAAATCAAATTAACTCAGTTGCAGTGACAGCTCCAATTCCACAGAAGGCCTTGAAAGAAAACAGTGTCCTTCCTGCCACCTCCCCTCTGCAAGCTTAGCCTTTCACCTCTTGAGAAGTCCATGCTGGCCCCAAATGTAGCCCACCTATACCCTCCCCTTTAAGGATAGTGTGGGTTGTGTTCAGGCCCCCTGCATGGCTAGGAACTTTGCTAGCTTATTCTGTCCTCCTTGTGCTTCCTCTTTTCTTGGCTCTGTGGCCCAGAGATTTGCTCTTTGGCCCTCCACCTCTGTGGACATGTGGAAGAACTAGAGAATTAGAAAGAGTGGGAGGTGCATGTGAGCAGTAGTGCCCTAAACATGTAGCTTCCTTCCAGACTGCAGCAGCCCTTTCCAGTGACCACAAGTCACAGAGGATGTGTTTTGGGGACATGACCTAGAGTGCCAGCACATGCATGCTCTTTAAAGGACCTCAGATGACATTGTGCAGGCTGACCAGTGTAGAGGCTGAGGCCAGAGAAATAACTGCCTTACCCATGTTGCAAGACAAGGACCAGGCCAGCACTCCTGAGCTTCCTGATTCTTGTGTTCCACAGGGCTCCACACTTGCTGCTACCTGTCCCCAGGGCTCTCCCAGCTGCAGCTGGTGACAAGTCTTTGCCAAGGTCAGCCCTCATGAGTGGGGGCTCCCTTCTATGTGGTTACCCTTCTCTGAGTCCCTGATATCTAACTGAGTGAGGCTAGAGGCTGGATGCTGAGTGCTTATGGGGAGATTAATCAATTCTCTCTCTTTCTCTCTGTCTGTCTCTCCTCACTTTCCTCCCTCCCCTTCACGTTTTCCTCCCCAGGGGGGCTTTCTCTGTGGTCCGACGCTGTGTCAAACTCTGCACTGGACATGAGTATGCAGCCAAGATCATCAACACCAAGAAGCTGTCTGCCAGAGGTAGGGCCAAGGTCACCAGAGTGCAAGGGTGCAAACAGGGCTGCTCTGCCCTGGACTTGGGCTTAGTGCCTTGAGTCATCTGTCCTCTTAGAATCACACAGAGGCACAGCCTGTCTCTCATCTCACCGGGACCAGAGCAGGTGGAATGGGATTTGTGGGGTGGAGAGTCTAGCGAATGGGAGCAGGCCCCAGTCAGACCTAATCTGACCAGGATTGCACCCTCAAATTCTGGGAACCTTTGCAGCCCCTCCAGTGTCCTGGATTGCACTGTCACTCTGGGGTTTGGATGTCTATGGAGCCCTCTTCTCACTTCCCTTTCCCAACACTGTAAAGACCTCTGCCTCCAGAGCTGGCTGGGGAGTTGTGAGTAGGGCCACAGGTTGCTGATGGTGGTCAGGTAATATCATTCACCCTGATGACTTGTGGGTGAGAGGATGAACTGCATGACTTAGAAGGACTTTAGAAGGACAAGGCTGCACACCCTCAGCAGATTGTGCCAGGCAGAATCCTGACTCTGGGTCCTGGTAGTGGTCAAAACCCAGGAAGTTTGCTTAGCATTTCTCTTTTTAAAAATGAAGTTACATTGAATTTACAGATTTGAGAAGAAAAGAAAAGTAGCCTCTTATAACCAGGAGCTGGCTTCGGTGTTCTAGTTTTGTACATAATTTCACAGACCACTAATGTTACACAAAGCCACCTTGTGACCACAAGTGATCAAGACAAAACCACAACCATTTCACAGTCATGTCTGTTCACAGACAAAATCAGGGCACCTCTGGCCTGGACAACGTGAGTAGTCATTTTTATTCACTAATAATAACTTTAGCTTCTATCTAGTTTTCCCTTTTCCAGGGAACACTTACTAAGAAACCCAGCCATAGGATTACCTCCAGTTAGACGTTCCCTGGCAACATCCAACCCAGCACAGAGCTCTGCTGCCTTCAGCCCTCTCCCAAATCTCCTGTTAAGAGTTCAAACCCTGTGAGCCCTTGCTTTTATTTTTTTTCAATTGAAGTGAGAGTCACCTAACATACAAATAACCATTTTATATTGTGTAACTCAGTGGGATTTACTGTATTCACAGAGTTGTAGACCTCCCTCTTCCAAGTTAGAAAGCTATCCATTATTGTCCACCCCCACATCCCCAGAAATCAACAATATGTTTTCTGTTTCTGTAGATGGATTTGTCCATTCTGCCCATCTCATGTAAAATGAATCCTCTAATATATGACCTTTTGTATAGCATGCATCTTAGTTATTGGCTTTATAGTTGAATATTTATTGGCAGAAAAATGGAATATTATTCCTATTTTATGACTGAATGATACTGGAAAATGGAATATTGCATTTTCTTTGTTCCTTCTGGCTGTTACATTACAAATATTTTCCATGTGAACATATGTTCTCATTTCTCTTAGCTATACACCTGAGTGAAACTGCTGGGTCATATGGTAATTCTGGAGCTCTGGTGGCATAGTGCCTTACATTGTTGTTGTTATGTGCCGTCGAGTCGCTTGTGACTCATAGCAACCCTATGTGCCTTACATTATGTACTTCTAATCAAAAGGTTTGAATCTATCATCTGCTCTGTGAGAGAAGCAGGGAGGGCCTCCTCCTGGACCAGTTAACAGCCATAGAAAACCAGAGCAAGGTTGCGAGGAGCTCACCTGATGGCAGTGGGGGTGATGATTTTTTTGGCCTGCTGTGGAAAGACAGTGGCTCTGTAGATCTGTTCTCATAAAAATTACAACTTAAAAGGCATTATGAGAAAAAAAATTAAAAAAAAATTTAAAAAAAAAGAAGGCATTATGAGGTGGTTCTACTCTATTAGCTGGGGCCACCATGGTTAAAAATGACTGACAGTAAGAAGGTGGTTCTATGTTAACTGAGGAATTTCCAAAGTGATTTTCAAAACAGTTGCTCCATTTTACACTCTTATCCTCAATGAATTAAGGTTTTAGTTTCTCTGTGTCACTTTCAATAATTATTTTCTGATTTTATCTGTTTGTTTTTAATCCTCTTACAGTCATTGATTAGTTATGGAGCAGTGATTTTTATTTGCATTTTCTTAAAGACCAAAGGTGTTGAAAATCTTTTCATGTGTCCGTTGGCCATTTGTGTAGTTTCTTTGGAGACATGTCTACTTAGATTAGATTGGGTTGTTTGTCTTGTTGAGTTGTGAATTCTTTGTGTATCTGTGGGAGAAGGATGGACAATCTCCTCTATTTACTGCCTCTGAAAACAGCTCGAGGGTCAGTTGTGAGTCAGTTTGACTCATTGGCTCACAACAGTACTATAAATGCAATTATTTTTCCATTTCATTTTTGGATTGTTCACCACTTGTGTACAGAAGCGTGGATGATTTTATATGTTGATCTTGTACATTGCAACTTGCTGCACTTTTTATCTCTAGTAGTTTCCCCTTAGATTCTTTGGGGTTTTCTAGATGGGTAACTATATTCTTTTATGTACAGACATACAAATCATTTTACTTCTTTATTTCCAGTTTGAATGCCTCATGAGGTCTGTCTTTTCTTGCTTAATTGTTTGGGTTAAAAAATATCCACTACAATGATGAAAACAGACCTCTTTATCTTATTTTCAATTTTAAAAGTAACCTTTTCAGTTTTTTACCATTCAGAATAAGTTAGCTTTGATTACTTAAAATATGTCCTCTATTACAGTTTTCTATGTTCCTTGTTCACTGAGTATTTTTGCCTTAAAAGACATTGAGTTTTGTCAAATACTTTAGGGAATTTACTGAGGTGAACATATGTGTGTTTGTTTCCGCCACTCTACTAATGTGCTGTAGTACATTGACTGGTTTTCATATATTGAACCACTATTTCATGTTGGAGATAAATCCTACTCTGTCAGCCTTTTATGTGATATCTGATTTGATTTGCTAGTATTTGTTTATTTTTATTTTTTAAATTTTTTTTTGTTTGCTAGTATTTTGTGGATGATCTTTACATCAGTATTGATAGGATATGTCTTTTTTTTTATCTTTGTTGACTTTTGGTCTCATTGTGATATATTTTCTGCTCCTTTTTTTTTCCCTCCTCAAAGACTTTAAGTAGAATTGGTGTTAACGCTACTTTAAAGGTTTGATACAATTTATCAGCAAAACCATTTGTTCTTGGTCTTCTCCCCCTCCAGGCCCCCCTTTTTTACATTTATAAAGTATAATATTATGTTTTCACTGTACATTTTCTTTCCTCCTTCCCCCCAACTTATCCTGTAATGCACCCTTCATTCCATATTATTTTCATACATAAAATGCCTAATTATTTTGCAATGACCGTTTGTACTCTTCCTGGATACCTTTGATATCCTCCCACAACTCGTCTGGTCTTCGCTCATTAGTGTTCAAGGCTTCAAACCTGTTCCTGAGATGGTTCTGAAATTCAGGTGGGATAGACTCAAAGTCATATTTTTGGTTCCCATGGATTTGGTTTAATTTTCCTCAACTTCAGCTTTAACTTGCATATGAGTAGTTGGTGGTCTGTTCCACAATCAGCTCCTGGTCTAGTTTTAACAGCTGATATTGAGCTTCTCCAGCGGTTCTTTCCACAGATGTAATTGATCTGATTCCTATGCATACCATCAGGTGAAATCCATGTATATAGCCTGTGTTTATGTCTCTTAAAAAACGTATTTGCAAACGGTCATTGCAAAGACAGAAGAGGAAGAGAAGACCAAAATGGATGTCAGAAGAGACTCTCAAAATTGCACTGGAGCGCAGAGAAGCCAAAGCAGAAGGAAGAATTCAAGGTACTAAAGAGCTGAATAGAAGATTTCAAAAGACAGCATGGGATGACAAAGTAAAATATTACAATGAAATGTGCAAGGAGTTGGGGTCAGAAAATCAAAAGGACTGAACTCGCTCAGCATTTCTTAAGCTCAAGGAACTGAAGAACAAATTCAAACCTCTAGTTGCTGTAATCAAGGATGCTTTCAGCAGAATATTAAATGAAACAGGGAGTATTAAAAGAAGATGGAAAGAATATACTGAGTCACTGTATTGAAAGGAATTGACTGACACAGAAGAATTTCATGAAACAACATATGAGCAAGATTCTATGGTGATGAAAGAAGTAGTTCAGGCTGCTTTGAAGGAAATGGCAAAAAATAAGGCCCCAGGAATAGATGGTATACCAATTGACATATTTCAGTTAACA